GGACATTTTATGATTTTAAATGAAGCAGATTTAAGTATTATTGTAACTGTTGAACATAGAAATCAAGAAGTATCAGATATAAAATTCTCACCAGGTAAAATTTTGTAAAAATAGTTCTAATGAAAATTTTTAATTTTAATTTTGATTTTTAGATGATCGATATTTAGCTGTAGGAACACATGATAATTTTGTTGATATTTATAATGTTGAAACACAAAAACGTAAATTTTCCAAATTTAATTTTTTTTATTTGAAGTATAATCAGTTTTTGTTATGTTTGTAGGTGTTGGTATTTGTAAAGCAAATTCATCATACATAACACATATCGATTGGGAATCAAAAGGTTGGGTAAATATTAATTTGTATTCATGAAATATTTTGATTATTTAGGAAAATTAATAATGACAAATTCTGGTGCAAAAGAACAATTATTTTATGAAGCACCACGTGGTACTCGAATTACATCTATTAAAACAACTGATATTGAAAAAATGAATTGGTTTACATGGACAGGTGTATTAGGACTTGTTTGTGAAGGTATTTGGCCACCAGCAACTGATGTAACTGATGTTAATTCAACTGATTTAACAAAAGATAAGAGAATTTTAGCTACAGGTGATGATTTTGGTCTTGTCAAATTATTCGATTTTCCTGTTAAAGTAAAGAATAAAACTTACAATCAAATAATTTCTTCAATAGAAAACTCTTTTCATTAAGGGTAAATTTGCTAAATTCAAACGATATACAGGTCATAGTGCCCATGTAACTCGTGTTCGATGGACATATGATAATTCATATTTAATATCAATTGGTGGTCGTGATGTTGCTGCGTTAGTTTGGAAACATGAACATAATACTGTGGCTGATGTTGTTCCTACTTCACAAGCAAAAACAACTGTTAAAAGTCTTCGTGCAACTCCTACTGCAGCAGCTATGCCTATACGAATAGAACGAGGTGAAAGTGAAGATTCCGATAATACAGATTCCGAAGAGGAAGGTTATGATTCGGATGTTCAACATGATCGAAGTATGGATTATAATGCTCGAATTTTGATCAATCCAGTTCGATCAAAACAAGATAAACAAGAAAAAGCTCGACCATCAACAACAGGACAAAAGCCTATGTAGATCAAAAACAATCTTTTTTTATTTCCAACTATTTTCTAATTTAGTCGTTTGAAAGTAAAACCATCACAAAGAAAAATCAATGATGAAGTAGCACTTGTTAAAGCAGCATTAAAGTCAGTTATTTTTATACACATAAATTTAATTATATAATCTCTTTTATAATTTCTATTAGATCAAGTATTGGTTTAGGTTTATTAAGTGCAGCACATGAAAATTCAACTACTAATGAAGCATTAGATCTGGAAAATAAACCACGAGGACGTATTGTTGTATGTAGTTTCAATAGAAAAATGAAGAAAAATAAAATGAAATAAAATAATCTTTATTTTTTTTAAAGGATCTTGAATTGGAACATATTCATGGTTATCGTGGTTTTGATTGTCGTGATAATTTATTCTATTTAGCCGATAATGAATCATTTGTTTATCCAGCAGCAGGTGCTTGTATTGTACATCATGTTCGTCGTGGTACACAAAAATTTTATAAAAAACATACAGATGATATTATATCAATGGCTGTATATAATGGAGAAAAACATGGAAATATTGTTGCATCTGGACAAATTGGAGAAAATCCAACAATACATATATGGAATGCTCAAACTAGAGAAACTCTTTCAGTATTATCTGGAAAACATAAACGAGGTAAATTGATTTGAAAATGTCAATTTGCCTATGTTTTGATTGTTACGCATTATTATGATTATTTGTTTCTATGTAAAGTTTTGAAGATTACGTTTGAATGATGTTTATTGTTGAAATAGCTATATAAATGAGTAATCTTCATTATTACTTAGTACTTTTATTAAATCAAATTTTTGAAATTCCTAGCAGAAACACTCACACTACGATTATTCTTTGTATGTCAAATGTTTTTAATGGTATTCATTATTTAACATTCTAAAGATGCTGTGACTATGGGTCATGAACCTTTCATACTACTGAAATATGACCAATTTTCAATCACTTTAGTAGAAGAAAAAAATTCTGATACATATAACAAAACATGTTTTCCGTTTTTTCCTTATGTCTCAGAGAGAGTTTGGTATTCTGATTAAAAAAAATACATTAAAATATAGTATTTCGGCAGTAATAAGCTATTAGTTCGAATCGTTTTCAAAATATTCATAGCTCATAAAAATCTACATGATGCATATGTTCTTCATTCAAAAGTGATCGGACATTAAGAAATGTTTCTTCGTAAATATCGATGATACGATAGAATTTTGATATATAACGTTTTAGAAAGAGACTCAATAAAATCATTGATAACACCTTTATTTTTTTGTTTAATTTAGGTGTTTGTTCATTAAGTTTTTCAACAAGTGGAAAATTATTATTGTCAGTTGGTGTTGATGCTCCATATACAATAGCAGTATGGCGATGGGAAGAAGGTATTTTTTTATTTTGAAGAACAAATTTTTCTATACTTTCGTTTTAATATTTTAGGTATAAATGTTGCATGTACAATTGGCTCAGAAGAACGAATATTTCGTGCATTATTTCGTCCAAATTCAGACACACATTTTGTTACAGCTGGTGTTAAACATTTAAAATTTTGGTCTTTAGCTGGTAATACATTAGTTGAAAAAAAAGCTATTATTACAAAAACAACAGATGGAAGACGATCAACTAAAATGCAAACAATGCTTTCTATTGCCTTTGGACCAGTATAGAATAACCTTTTTTATTTTTTCTTTATAATATATTTAATTAATTTCTTTGATTTGACTTTTTGTTTTTTCAAGGAAGATCGTACTTATACGGGTAGTATGACAGGTTTAATTTTTATTTGGCGTATTAATACATTAGAACGAACAGTAACTGCTCATACAGGACCAATATTTTCAATGTTTAGTTCAGACAATTGTATTGTGACGGGTGCTAAAGAAAAGTATTATTTTATTATGTTTTAACGAATTTTTTAAGAATTATTTTTTCTTTTAGACGTGCTCTTGGTTCAACACGCATACTTAGTCCAGTTAAAGTTTGGGATTATAATATGGAGAATGGACGAGCAATACAGTTTGATATACCTCAAACAGATACAATTTGTGCTCGATCTGTTTGTCGAAATTCTCAAGTAAAATTTCCCTTCTGGCTTTTTTTTTTTTTATTATTATTAAATAATAAATTTTCTTTTTCAGGGAAAAATTTTAATTGGTTTAAAAACTTCTGATATTATTGAAGTTGATGATAAATCCTCAGGTTTTCGATCAGTTTCATTAGTATTTGGACATGGTGAAGGACAATTATGGGCATTATCACCTCATCCACATGAACCAATGTTTGCTACAGGAAGTTATGATCGAAATCTTGCTATTTGGGACATGAGTACTAAAGTAATTCATTTTATTTTAAGTTAAATACTTTTAAGATTAGCTTAATTTTTTTTTTCATTGAAATATGTTCTAAGGATAAAAATTCATAAGGGAATTAAATTTTGACGGTTTACAGATATTAATGTCTATATACAGACTGAGCAGTTTTCAATCTTTTGAATTTTTCATCAATAAGAATCAATTATTTGATAATGGAAGATCTCTCAACTATGTTTAGGCGGGTCAAAAAAAAAAAAGTGTTCAATTCTTAATAGACTACCTGTTATTTGGTTATTTATTTTAATTTGAATATGTTACTTTTGTTTAGGGTCTTGTAATCAAACGTGATATGGGAAAAGAAATTCGAAGTGTATCATTTGATGTTGAAGGCACTTTATTAGCGATCGGATTTAAAGATGGACAAATTGGTTTAGTTGGATTTTCTAAAGAGAAAAAAGAATTAATAGGTGTTGATAAAACAAGAGAACGAAATGCTGCTATCACTTGTGTTAGGTATGTTATTAGAAGATATACTAGATTATTATTATTATTATTGAATATTTATCTATTTATAGATTTAGTCCTGATAAAAAATTATTAGTTGCTTCATCAGACAATGGTTGTATGGATTTTTTTGATATTCAACAAGGTAAATTGACACGTATTGGTTATGTAACACATATTGATGATCCTGTTATACATATGGATTGGTCTACAAATTCACATTATATTAGAGTAAAAATATATTTCAATAAGCAAATTCCGTTTTATAAAGTTCATTTTAATTTTAAAGGCTAGTACAGTTGGCTATCAAGCACATGTTTTTCGTGCCCCAATTGGTGAAGAAATTAAAAATCATGAAGAAATCGAAAAAATTGTTTGGGATTCTTGGACAAGGTAAAAAAGATTTTAATGATATGAAAACGGGTTAAAAAAATCTTGATTTAAAATTTACATTCACTATGTTTCTTCGAAAAATATATAATGAATTGTTCTTTTTTGTTTAGTACAATTGGAGATAATGTTAATGGTATTTGGCCAAAAGATGTAAAAAAAGATCATATTAATTGTGCTCATGCTGTATCATCAACAATTGTAACTGGTGACGATAATGGAGCTGTTAATTTGTTTAAATTTCCTTGTCCAGAACCTGGAGTACGAAACTTTTGTTTTGATGATAATTTGATTTTTGTAATTGATAATAATTTCTAGGCAGAACATAAAACATATTATGGTCATTCGGATAATGTAACCAATGTTCGATTTCTTTTTAATGAAAGATATTTAGTTAGTTTAGGTGGAGATGATTGTTGGTAAGATAATTTTATTTTATATAAAAGAATTTTCTCTTATTTGCTTTCTTTTTTTTTTTATAGTATCTTTGTATGGAAATGTATTACTAAAGAAAATAGTGATGACGATGATTAATTATATATTTAATTATAAACTAACATATCTGTTTAGTTACGCTTAACATGTTTAGCTTCTTTTCTTTGTAATTATCTGTGCTTATTGTAATTAAATTATGTTTTAGATATTAAAAAAAAAACTAATGAATCATACTGAACATCCATCTCTTGTATCTAATTATCAATTTCCTCGTTGGTCAACAACAACATCACGACCACATTCAACTTTATCATCAAAAGATACTGCCAACGATATCTATCAATTAGGTATTGATAATCGAAATGAATTTCAAAAATCTGATTTATCAACCACAAAACGAATTATTCAACATCATGTACGTATTCCAACAAGTGCAAGATATATTTCACCTCCACCTATTGATCAATCAAATTCTACACCTCATCATAATACAACATTAGATCGTTCGTCACCAACATCAATGGGTTCACGTTATTATCGTTCAATACCTGTACGAATGAAATCAACTGCATTAACAGTTCCAATATCAAAAGGTAAAGAAGAACGATCATTTCAAAATTTTCCAAAACAAACTCATGAAAAACGAAAAATAACACATGAAAGAAAACGAAAAAAACAGCAAGCACAAACATTAGCTGAAAAATATGCAGATACAGAAAGATGGTTTCAATTAAGAACATCATTAGCAGAACTTAAACGTCTTGCTACAACACAAGAAATTATTGTCGATCCAACTACATCCATTTTTAATTGTGATGGACATTCATTTGCAACACTTAAACAAATTATTGCTCAACAACAAGAAGATAAAAAAGCATCTAGGTTAAAATCGGACTTAGGTACATTTTTTTTAATTTTATTTATATTTAAATTCGTATTCAACTATTTCAAAGACTATTTTCAATTATTAAGGATAGCAAAAGTATTGTTTAGTTATTACAACATGAAAAATTGTAACTATGTAATGTAAGTTGAAATGAATGAGCTCAACCACATGTTTTCTTGTTTCCGATTTAGAAGATATTTAATTTTGATAACAAATTTAAGGGAAAATAAAATTCTTAACCATTGTCTATAAGTTTGAAACAACTTGTTCGTATCATTATGTTAATATCATTCTTATTAATTGCTCAAATAAACATCAACAAAATCAATTGTTTTAATTTGGGTCACAATTTTATTCCTATAGGAACTTGAAGTTAAATTGAGAACAGAATCAAAACTAGTTTGCTGGTGTCTAGTTCTAATAAAATATTTTCCGTATTATGAATAATAGTTACATGATCGATTGAAATACATTTGAATCATTCATAAAGAACATCACAATGAAGCAAGAAAGTCAAACGTTTTTGAGCATTCAGACACTTACTGGAAATATGCTTTTTTTTTCGTACCACTTTCTGTAGAATTTTCAAGCGCAGTTTGTTGTGAAGAATATTTTTAAATAGAAAATGAAATCAGTGAAAATTTGTGAATTCTTTTAGTGTCTGAAACAAAATAGGACATTGTTTAGTTTATAATTAACAATCAATCTGTACGAAGCATTAGATGACTATATAATGATATTTCTTCCAAATTGAAACAGCACAGATGAATGCTAAAGCATTAACTACAACCAGAAAAAAGTATAGTCTTGCTAGTATTAGTGTACATATTAGTATGTTAACTCTACATTCTTCCTGTTGCGTACTTCTTTCTTTGATCTTAAAATTTTAATCAAATATTATTTGCTATGCAAACCTCTTATGTTCATCTGCATAACTATGAGTGATCGCAGTATTTTATACTTGTTATTGCTATAGAAAACCTTTAGAATCTTGATGACGAAAGATTGCAATTCAAATTATCATTTAAAGAGAAATTAAAAAATAATCAAAATTAATTAAATTTTTAATTTGATTTGTTCATGCCTAATAATAGATCTTGTATAGAATTTTGTTTTTATTTAAATAGGTATATCATCATCATCATCATTTGGTTCCGCTTTATCTTCTCGTGATTTAAATCGAGGAAGTTTAACAACATCTCATAGTTCATTTCCTCGTCCTCGAACAAGCAAACGACCAACAGAAACATATCCACGATTAATTTTCGAACCATTTATTGTTGCATCAAAACCAATACATCCTTCTCTTCTTACTGACATTAATAATTTATCATCAAAACAAAAAATAAAATCAACTCGTCCTCGTCCAAATTCAACCATAGCAGTTTTTTCTGGAAAAAGACGTTCTCAATTACTTCTATCTGATCTTTCGAATTATGATAATCCTTCAACATCATTAACACCATCTCCACCTCTATTAAAAAATGAACAAGATATATTGCCTCGTAAATTATTAACATCATCATCATCATCAACTCGTCCAAGACCTCCATCAACATTTCAATTAACTTCAACAATAAAATTAAAACCTCAACCTCCTCGTTGTCGTAGTGCTACGGATATAAAATCTTCATATTTAACAACTAAAAATTATCCACGTTTTATATTAATTGCTGATGAACAACATCGTATTGAAAGTTGGTATCATCAATATCCATTTATACTTGGTGATGATCTATTAACATTATTTGAATCAAAACAATTACAACAAAAATCTACTATATCAGCTTATTTTATTGATGATTTACAAATATCAAAAGCTAATATAACAGCTAAAACATTTTTACAAGGTAAATCATTTAATATAAATAATGATTGGAAAAAATATGATTTATTATTTATATCAAATAATATTTATCAAAAAATTATTATTTATTTACAAACAATATTAAATTTAATTAAATTATCAGGAAAAATTATTAAAATTTATCAAATTAATCATGAAGAAGATTTAAAAAGACAAGTTAAAAATATATGTAAACAATTACAACAAGAAAATATATATTAAAACTTTTATATACATTTTCCAATTCTCATTCATTTCATCATGTGATATCATTTGTTTGTTTTATTTATTGTAATATTTTCGTATATATTTAAATAGAAAAAAAAAAACAAAAAATTAGCAATGAATTTTAGAAGTGAAATATTTAAAAAAAATACTTACGAGGGAATATTCTCAGGTGCTAAAAAGCTTTTCAACCGGGGATGTGATAATTAGAGAGGGCATAGCTAGCAGTGATACACCTTAAGTTAGTTCGCGCCCAAGTTGAGATTTGGCTGAGATATCGACTTTTTACTAGAATTTGCCTATGGGACCCCATCTTCCCCAAGAAATCAAAGTTTTGAATTTTGAGGTGAGACTTTGCCCATATCAAGGCCTCAGCCAGGGTAGTTCATCCACAAAGTTTCAGAATTTTTGGGCTAAGCATTCCCGAGATATGAGTCTGTTAGTATAAACACAGTTTTTTACGGATATTGCTGTATGCATGGATATTTTGAAAACATTATATCTCGGAAATGCTTAGCCCAAAAATTCTGAAACTTTGTGGATGAACTACCCTAGCTGAGGCCTTGATATGGGCAAAGTCTCACCTCAAAATTCAAAACTTTGATTTCATGGGGAAGATGGGGTCCCATAGGCAAATTCTAGTAAAAAGTCGATATCTCAGCCAAATCTCAACTTGGGCGCGAACTAACTTAAGGTGTATCACTGCTAGCTATGCCCTCTCTAATTATCACATCCCCGGTTGAAAAGCTTTTTAGCACCTGGGAATGTTCCCTCGTTAGATAATATTCATTTATTAATAGTAGTTTGATTTTACTTGATGCAGTAAACAATATATTAAATTATATTTTGATGATTGACCTTGATATGGAATTTGAACTCGTTATTAGCAATACAATGTAAACAATATTAGTGCATTGTTCTATTTATTTTTGTTTATAAAAAAAAATGTTCGTTATATATTTAACAATACAGATGTTAAGTTTTATATGATTGTTAATGTATTATTTAACCAGGCAGAAGCTGAATACATAGACTTTTGTGTTTTATCAAGATTAGAATCATTACTGCACTTTCTTAATTTTGTTCGATGTTGTTCATAATATATTTATAACACGAATGAGTTCAACGTCTACAGAGATTTTGTACTATTATATAGTTGTATAAGCAGAAAAAAGTTGTCAGGAAGATGAGCAAACTACTCTTATTCAACCGTTTGTGGAGGGGAAGGACCCTGAACACTTCTAGCTCCCATCTAATTGCACCTCTATTATTAACACTTGATGAAAACATAATTTAATAAAATGTTCGTTAATTTTTCAACTTCTCAAAGAAGCCTGCAAAAATTTGAAAATATCAGTCTCAAATCAGAATTTTGTGTTCTTTCTAAATATGGGTTCAATTTTTTTTGTAGGACTTTTGGTTTAGAAGTTATAAGTCAGTCTGTTAGAGATCTATCAATTAAATTTAAAAAGACATCAGCGCGCCAGAACTTATCCAACATAGAAGAGAATCTTATTTCAAATACAGCTAATAAAAGAGCAAACATTTCTTTATAAAACGGTACGCTAATGATTATTATTCCATGGTAGTTTTTCCAAAGATTTCCTTTATTGTTTAGTCTGAATAATGTGCAAAATAATTCATCTGTAGTCTTGCGATATGTCATTGTTTCTGTCGATTAATATCTTAAACTGTGTCTATACATCATTAGAAATCATTTGAAAAATTAGAAAAAAAAAAAATTTATTGAAGCATTTTCAAGCGTGATTATTTGAAAATGAGATCATAAGAAAAAAAAAACAATACGCGTAATGATATGAAGGTTGGTGGTTGTGCTTATATAATCCATCACAAGATTTGTCCTTCGATCGGTTCTATTCTAATTGAATATTTATTTATTTTTAATGATCTTTATTCCAGTTCTTCTACCTGTTACAATAGCTTGTCGATCATCAATTTCAATAGTATCTTCACTTATTGAATTGTAATCTTCATTTGTTGTTGATTGAAATTTAAAATCTTCTATTTTTAATCGTTTTGATTTAATATAAAGAAATAATGAAAATATTGCTAATGTAAAACCAAATGGTGATATTATTAATCCTAATTTATATGATGCTGTTGTTACATATGACCAAAATAAAACGAATAGAACTGCATAACCAAATAGAATGTAAACAGTAAATATTCGAACTGTACGATTACAATTAGATTCAGCAAGATCTATGCTTGATTGAAGTTGAATATAACGATAATAACATGACGAACATAAACATAATGTAAATGGAATCAAAAATAAAACTAACTTAAAAAAAAAAGAAAGAATTTTACAATTTTTTTTTTTTTTTGTTAGTTAATTTAGTTACTTGAATAGCTCCCATATATGTTTGCATATCAGGTGGAAGATATATTCCTCTAATAATTGTACCCCAAAGAAAAACAGCACCAAAATAACCATCTGTTATATATCCAATATACCATGGACCTTATATCAAAAGAAAAAAAAACATCATTATGATAAATATTTTAGAAACAAAAAAAAAATTCACCAATAAAATGATACAATGCTAAACCGATTAATGAATAATAAAATATATCGATCGAACATAGAAGCACCATTCGTAAACGAATTGTATTCCATAGAGTAAAACAAGCACCACAACATTCTGAAAAATACAATTTATTAAAGAAAATTTCAAGATATTTTTGTCAAAATTGATCTTCGATATAATATATGGGATTTTCATGAAACTTTATGTAGATATTTTACTAATACAAATACACTATTAAAAAAAAAAACATTTTTTCCGGCTCTAAACGTTACCATTCAGAAGATTTTCATATGTACAATTTTTTTTGTTCAATAGACTTCAATCTGCAGTATATTGACTGCTCTCATTTCAAAGAGAACTCCTAACTGCTTCGCACGAGAAAAGAACTTGTTTTTTAATTTGAATCTTATTCTAGTCTTAGAAACTTCAAAATCTTAAAGCTTCAAAAACCTTAGAAAATGTTTTCTGAAAAAAATCCATGATTGTTTTGATATTGAAGATCAAAAGTAATGTGAATTTATCAAAGAATAGTACTGTTTTTATTTTAACTCTTTTATTAGTCTATTAAATATATTCATTTTTGTCTCAAGTTAGTACATTATCAAGATAATGTTTACGTTAAATCAACTGCCTTCGAAGAACACATGTATTTATTTTGCTTTACAGTTTAAAATATTTGTATTCGTTAATCTTAAGACTCATCATAAAATTGTCTTTTAAACTTATATGAAATATTTGTTTTTCTTTCGATGTATCTAACATTGATTTGAAATAACGAAATAAAAACTTACGTGTCATTCGTTTTGCTCGATATCGGAAAAATATTAAGACAGCAATATATACACATAAACCCATAATGATGGAAACAATACCCTATAAAAAAAAAAAGAAAATTTGTTTTTGAAAGAAAAATTTTATTTTATTTTACAAAAGTTGGCCAATGAATAAGTAGAATAAGTTTTGATCCAGTAAATGCTGTTATTGTTGTTGTAGCAAGAGAAAATTGATTTTCAATTTTTATTCTATTATTTTGATTATCGTTAATTTCAATTGATAGTGTATGAAGATGACTATCATTATAAAAACTTGCATTCCATGGTAATACATATAGATTTTCATTATCAATTGATTGTATTGCAGTACCCAAAAATTTTGAATCAATCGAAACATTTACATCAACAATTGACCATTTAGAAAAAATAACAATTCTTTAATGAATCAAAATATTATTTTATAAATCTATAAGATATTTTTCAATTTACCGAATATGTGTACTTTGACTTAAACGATAGAGTGGTTCTCTAGGTGTTTTAAATTTAGCTGCTTTTGGATTTGATATTACAGCATAAATTGGTTGATCAAAACGAACATCTTCAAATGATAATATACCTGAATCGATTGTTACTATACGAAACCTTTACACAAAAAGAAAAAGAAAACCAATATTCCTTTAGAATAATAGTGAGATTTTTTTATAGGTGTATTAATAAAAGCTATTAATATTCATATTACTAAGAAAATACCTAAATGAATCGATAGCAAAAAATTCAAACTCAATATCTGACTTGACAAACTCTTGCTAACGTCCCATAGCCTATAAAATTGACATAATTAGACGAAACATAATAAATATTAAAATCGCGTTAATAGTATATAACTGCTTTTTTTTTTACTAAGCCTATTCTTGTTCATAATTTAGCTATTTGAATAGTTTTTTAAACATCGTCTGAGTGTTTGTCAGAAATATGAGTGTTATTATGTTTTTCTGAAGAGTCGAATATTACCGTCGATTATCTTTCCAATCTCCTAATTCAAGTTCAAGTAACCCATTAGAATGTCGAGCATATAAATGTTTGATACCGGAATGAAGATGACCATTTAAATAAACAATACCATGACGCATTAATTCATCAAGTCCATTTGAATACGTAAATGATAAAGGATAATGACCAAAAAATATTGTTGTATTAGAATTTTGAGTTTGTTCAGATAAATTTTTTATATTGTTCATTTCTTCCTAAAATAAAAAAAAAAAAAGGAAATCAATGAAACTTAAGAAAGATTTTCTTTTTCTTTTTTCAAATACTTTGGATATATGGCCAAGAAAATTAAATGGACGACCAGCACCTGGTCTTGGACACATATCAATACCAACAAATGAATAAGTATCATTGTCACTTGTTGTTAATGTATATTGATATGAACCTTTATGTAAAACTCCTTGATGAGAATAAATCCTTCAAGAAAAACCATCGTTCAGATAAATTTCAAAAAAAAACAACTCTCAATTCAATACCGATAAAAACTTTTGCTTGATTCTGGGTCTGGATCCATAAATGCATCTATTAGTTATTAAAAAAAAAAAATTTTTTTTTTAGTAATTAAAAATCAAAAATAAATTTACCATGGTTTCCTCTCATATCAAGCCATGCTGTATATTGTGTTACATTAGTTCGATTTAAAATATCTCTATATATAATCCATTCTTGTTCATATTGATCAGATGCAAAAAATCGATCACGATTATGTGCTAAATCACCTATAGGATATATAAGATTACTTTTTATTAATTTTCTTTTCTTATTAGTAAAATTGTTGTCTATTTTGTTCGTTATAATAACCTGATACAACAGTGACTTGTGGTTTAATTAATGATTTGATAATTTGATTACAAAATTGTTCAAATTGTTCAGTTCGATCAGCATGACCGAAATGAGTAATATGTATGTCTGTTACCTAATTCAAACATAGAATTTATTATTTGTTTTGATATATAAATTACAAGAGACAAGTAAAAAAAAAAAAACAATAATTACATGAACAAAATAGAATAAATGTTTGCCAGTACTGCCAAGATATTCATTGGATAGTACATCATTTATTGAATTATTTAATTGAATGTGAATAAAAAATAGAAATAGAAAGTAGTAAAAAGAAAATAACATTTTGGAATGATTAAAATCTAAAAAAAAAAAATATTTTAACTTTTTCATTTTATTCGAAACATTAAATAATATTTATTTTTTAATATTCATCCTTTATTTTCAATGCACAAAACTGTAACAGATCAAGAACTTTTGAACTGGTGCAGTTAGGTTCAAAAAATCTTTTGAATCTAATTAGATTATTCGAGTGATTGTTAAACTCTAATTCTTGTATTTTCTAACCGAGTCTTTTCCGACAAACCGAACGTTTTTTTTTTTTTTGAACGACGATTCAAATCTGAATTTGATCTTTACCAAAAAAGTTTAGATCAAATAACAGAGTTTCTGTATTAGTGAATCGATTCTTCATTGGCTTACTTCTCTTTTTCTCTCTCTCTGAGATATATTCTCTAAACGAGCAAATATTAACGGTACTCTCCAAATATTCTCAACGTTTAAATATAATCATAATTTTGTTATATTGATTATTTGCACTATAATGATCTTTCGTTCGATATTCGCATTTACTTTCATTATAACTCTTTTTGTTCATGCAATAAATCCTTCATATCTTCAAGAACATTATTATAAAGAATTGTTAATTCCCAGTATTATTGGTTTTGATTATCAAATTTTACCTGTTGCGAATAAACAACATGGTAATGGCAAAGAAATTACTGATGATTATTTTTTAAGATGTAATATATTTCGAAATTTTCATTTAAGTCCATTATGGTTATCGCGTCGAACACGTACAAATCGTTTTTATGGAAGACCATTATGGATTTCTCGAACTGGATGATAAAAAGAACTATTTTTTTTTTCTTTTGATTAAATAGAATATCCGATGTTGTTGTTCGTCGTTTGTCTTGTTGGTCTTTATAAATTAAAAAAAAAAATAATAGATAAAGAAAATGATGTGACAATTTGGATGTAAATAAAAATTTAGTTAACAGTTTTATATGAAATATATGCTGATGGATTATAAGAAAATTATATTCAATTAAAATACAATCAGAATAATGATGAAAAATTTTGGTCTTAGATTTAATATAATAATGACATATTTACTCGAACATGTTCTCAAAATATCAACAATAATTCAATAAAAATGTTTATTTTTGAGTAACAACATGAGAACGATATGCTCGAGCAACTGACTGGTGCAAATTGTATTACATCATTACTCAACCCATGAAACTAGTGATAGTCTGGTATTGAATAGATATCATTTGCATAGAGTTAGAGATTTTTTAATGATGAAAAATATATTTTAAAGAAAAATAAATGAATCGGATAATTTGAAACATTCAACATATGGTGACATCTATCATGATCATTTATACTCTCTTTAATGCTTCCAGATTTTCATCTCAGCTTCGTTCGTTTTTATTCCCGAAGGTTAGATTTGCTTCATTATTTGAGTTTGAGCGACCGGAAAAGTATAATTAAGTAGTGAACGAAAATTATCTGATCTATGATTATTAGTACAAAGTATTGAAAGTAACTGAGTTATATTGTTGTAGTTACTATTCTTATTCTAGACTATTATTAACATTCATTTCTCTTCATAATAAATGAGCAACCGTATATATTTATTATTCAATTGATACTTTCTCTTGAGCGTTACGTACTATAAAAAAAAATAGAATATTTGTTGGTAATACGTTATCATCTCTTTTCGAAGTGAAGCTTTACGTAAGAGAAATGAATGAACTTAGTTTGAAAGAAGTTAATGATGTGTTATGTGTTGATGCTTACAGTGTGATTTATCCAAAGGATATAAGAGAGTTTTATGATGATATACTTCGTTTTGATAAAGATTCAATAACTTATTGATTGTGCATATCTCTTATTCAATACCTATTTAAACCTTAGAACTATTTAATAATTTCTAAAACTAATTAATGAATATTTGTAGCTATGTATTATGTATTCATAGCTATTTAATAAAATACTTAGCCACTTATTTATCTATTTTATTTGTTTCAACCAAGAAGCGCCAACATTACAAATATTTCGATGAACGGCTATTCAACCTCAAGCACTAGTTTATAAATATTCATAGCTATTTAAATGTCATTTGACTACTTAATAATTGTAGTTATTTTTTTCTTGAGCAAAGAAATTAAAGTTTGAACATTTCTAAATGAGTAAGAAGCAAGAGTATTATGGAATTGTTATTTTGAATTGAGAACTGTTGAAGTTATATGTTGAATATTTAAATTGAGACCTGCAAAAATTAGTTTGGAGATGTTTTGAAAACGATGTATTAGTTAGAGCTGAAGAATATGAAATAAAAATATTAAAAAAACAAAAAAAATGTATTAACCAATTTTTGTACGCACAGCATATTTGCTGTTGTTTTATCTTTTAATAACAATATTGAACTAATACAGTACGGATGACAACCTTGACGTAGTCCTTCGAGGGTTTTCAAGTTTTTGACTACGGTGTGAAGCATTGTATAGTAATTTCTATACTTTCTCGTTACAAAGTTATGTGTTTCTGTATGATCAATTTTATTTTGAAACTTCGATAGGAAGTTTCATTCGTTCTCAATGCACCTCGCAAAACGACGGTATTGAATTGAGAACTGTACTTATATGTCAAAAACATGAAAACGAGTTCCAGCAGCAACAATGATTAGATTGAGTGTTATTGTCAAAATCTACATCCTTCATTCAAAAGTTGTATAATTTTACAAACCTCAAGTATCTATAATTTAAAAAGAAGACAAAAAAATGAACAAAATATCGCTATTCTAGCTGAATCTAACATAAAAATAACAGAAATTTTTCTTGAAGTGTGCTATAGTTATCGCTACAAATACCTGTGATATTTGGCCATGAGGAAACACCTTTAAATGACCATACTTCTTAGAATTTTCGACTATCAGAACCAACGTGGAATAAACGACAGGCAAAGTTATTAGAAAAAAATGTTTGAAGCTTCGAACATTGGAAATCTTTGAAAACTCATTTCTATGTGAAACTCGCATTATCTGAAAGAACAAGACGATTTAGGATTTTACGAGTTTGAAATATCATCGAATAGTCAAGTCTTTTGCTTTTAAATGCGTTCTTTGCAATTGAAATCTCAAAATTTCACTTTTCTTTTCAAACAATGAAGTCGTTTTCAGCACCTACTCTGTGGTAAAGACGGAAAAAGCAGCATTTCAGTTTCGAATTCTATTACTTTTCGTATCTATGTAGGTGTTGACTTCGACATGCATATAAAGTCACTTCTTGTCTCATTCAGAGAACGTGTAGTTCAGGAATTTCTGATATTACTGTCATTGATATGGCTTTCATTGGCGGCAAGTAGAGTAGAAAGCGATATAAGCTACTAATCAATGGTTATCAACGACAATTGGCTAGTGCAGCGCTACTGGCCGGCTCCTTCGACATTGGATGTGTGTGCGTGTAGTGTGGCGTTCAATTGTTCAGATCGCACTTGGTTCAGTGATCAATTTCTGTGCCAACATGGAAACAATTGTATAGCAAGTACCGTCATCTGGAGCGTACTTGTACTAGATCGTGCATTCACTAGTATCGAAACTGTTTTGAAGCACGATTTGTGCTGCTTCTTCAATCATACCCGTATTGATACTATGTTTCTGATGTACAATATTGACATACCCAAGCGTCTCTCATTGCCAGAAGCTACTCTTGCCATCACTGCTCTAAACAGCTCGAACACAACGTGTTTTTCACCTGCCAACATCCTCGAAACATTCTTTAATCAACTCATGATAGAGGAATGAGAAATCAACGTTATTTTTAATGAGTACTATAACACTTGTGCCCCTGTTATCTCCACTTACACATGCACTCAGAAGTTGGAGATCTTTTATGTCATTCCTACAATTACAGACATGTTTGGCGAGCTTATTGTCACTCTACGACTTTTCGTCCTGGTTTCGGCAGCTGGCGCAAAGGACTTTCGAATACAATCGATGAAGAACCTTTTAAACGTTCAAGTGAAAGTCAATCGAATGTGGGCGTGGGTGCAGAGCTTCTCTTGATACGCACCCATACTCTTATAAGATCTTAATGAACTATAACGTCAAAGAAAAAAACAAAAACAATTTTTCATTTTCAATTATTATCCTGTCGTGTGCTATTGAATATCTGATTAAATATGTACTGATGCAAAAGAGTTCTAATTTCATTTTCTAAATTTTTAAATAAAAAGTCTTCTATTAAAATAGAGTTTCTCAGATTGATGATAAAACAAAAATAAAGAAACAGAGACAACTAATAGTTTTGTGTTACAAATCGAATCATAGTTTTAAATTATGAAGACTTGCATATAATAATATAGATAAACAAGTTAATTTCCAATTTTTTTTAAACTACTAGCTGGTTGCTGATAGCTCTGAATTAAAACATGTCTATTTGATATTACACTACTCATGAAGTAAAAACTTGAAAAGAATTTCATTTAAATGATTATTTTCAGAATTTTTATCGAAAAAATGAAAATCACCGCATTACTCCCGTTACTTCTACACTATTTTCATTTCATAAATTGGCTTATTTCTAAAAATGAAAATCATTTCATTACTTTCGCCCTATTTCCATTTCATGAACTTCATTTTCTACAAATTTCAAATCATTACATTAGTTTTATTATTTGGCATCATATTTATGCCATAACCTTGATTTGATGTAAAACATCGAAATCACTACATTAGTTACATTATTTTCACATCATATTCATAACAGGACTTTAATTTTTTTTTAAAAACATCAAATTTATGCAATTAGTTTCATTTTTATTTTATTTGAATCACCGAGTATTTACAGCATTTCAGATGAGTGAACTTCTTAATCTTTCTTGAGTTAGAACTTTTTCGCGGATGACTTCAATGTAAAATATATGATGAAACACCATCTTTTTCCAAAAATATGATAAAGAATGATTAATTTGAGTTTATCTATATGTTTGTCGTTATACGAATCGGTTTTACAAGAAAATGAATGTATAAGAACAAAAAGGATTTTGTGCGCTACTTTTGGCAACGAAGATTGTTAAATTCAAAACTCTAATAACTTGCCACTTTTTAATCGACATAGAATATATTGAACTTTTCATAAGTTCACTACACAATCCCTCGAAAGACTAGGAACCTAGACATTGTGAGAAGTTCAGATAACTTAGTCTATCTCAGTCTGCAAAAGAGTTAGGTGGGAAAATGGTACGCAATCAACGCTCTAGGTTTTGAGTGACATTGGATTGATGAAATTTTTAATGTCATAATTGTCATGTACTTTTAATGACTATCATGGCAAGAAAATAATGTAGAATTTGTCATTTTCAGGAATGAAAATTTTGAAAATCATCAGTGTCTTAAAAAAACATGCAAGTTTTTGTTCATTTCATCATCAAAAATGTCATTTTTTTGTGTCGATCATCATTTCTCTAAGGGAAAAATTTCATGAGAATGGTGTAAAGTACATCCTTTTTTGCATGTTTTTACCCCATGGACAGAGACGAGTCTTCGATAAACAGAATGACGATGTTTACAATCTTTGTTCACAATTACAAACGAAGTTCAACAAGCAAAATATAGGAAAACGGTTAACTCTTTTACTTCCATTGAATGCTTCTTCGATCGTGCACTAATATTTTTCCTCGTTCTTCTCGATCTTGTTCGATGTCAATTGGAAACAAAACGATTTCTTATTATCGTTAAGAAAATCTATGTAAAAAATATGCAGACTGTCTTTGTTGCATGCACATACAATCAATAATTTAAAAAAAAAAGAATTCAAATAGTTTGCTCGATCTCTTTTT